GGGGGGGGGGGGGGGGGGGGGGGGGGGGGGGGGGGGGGGGGGGGGGGGGGGGGGGGGGGGGGGGGGGGGGGGGGGGGGGGGGGGGGGGGGGGGGGGGCGAACGAATTAAAAAACGTGCATCCATCAGGATGGAGGTCATGCACAAAACGCTAGCCGAGCTTCAGTTCAACATGCAGGTCTACCTAACCAGCTGGCAGGCAATGTGCCGGGCGTCGGCGGCCATAGCGAAAGGATTGGCAAAGTTGGCGAAGGGCAGTGACGGCGCTGGCGGCGCCGGCGGCGACAACGACGGAGTCAAAGACAAGCAAGGAGTGTCGCCGCTAGTGAACATGGTGAATGAGGGTCTAGAGATCGTCACATGGGCTATGCATAGTTCGATGTTCTTGGAGGGGGCGCCGAGCGGGTGCAAGGGGAAGGATGTACAGAGTGACCGGACAAATTTGTGTCCGCCCTCCGAAGCTCCTCGAAAGGGTACGATGAGATGAAGCGAGTGATATCCACGTCAAACAAACCGATGCAACATTTCGATACGAAACATTTGGCGCTGCACATTTATTTGCGTCGTGCCGCTGGCATATCAAGACCATTTTGGCCATTTTTGCTTGCGCCGTGCCCTCTTCCCTGCCGTTTCTGTTGAACTAGCCAGAGCAAAATGTATTGGCTGCAAGGCACCTTGCCTGGAGGTTGTGGAGGTGTCCTTTTTGAAGGAGGGGCGGAAGGTGCAGGAAGGATGCAAATCATGAACGAGTTGTCGACCTACAAGCAGACATATTCCCACTCCACTACTGCTTGTAGTATGTACCTCCTTGTTCACAGCGGAACGAGCGCCGAAAGCCACCTACAGAATGAAACGAAAGGTGGATTTTCGACGAGCAAGAAGGGGATCATGTGGAAGTCGGGGAATGATGTATCTTCCGAAATAGATGGAGAAACACAACAGGAGACCTACTTAGTGAACAAAGCCCTTTTGGTCCGAAGATTTGGACCAAGACCGATCAGCAGAATGCTGCTAGCATGGGATGGATCTTGGATGCGGGCAGTGTGTCGAGGAAGACACTCTCTCAAGTTTCGCTTTCTAGAGCACCCTCGGTCACGCTTGGTATTCCTCGCCACAACAAAGACAAGAAAATGAGCGTTTTTTGGTGGACGGTAAAGCCCCCTTCACAGCGCTCTGACTCCGTAGAGTAAGGATATTGCACAGCCACGTGTGTAGAGAGCGCTCACACAATGTTGGAGTTATTTCGATTTTGAGTGTGCATAGGAAAGGCTTGCCATATCGGAAGAGATGCGTGGTCAGTTGTCTACTGCTTGAAGTAAGCAACGCCTGAGTGCTCCCCCCTCTTGCCGCCTGCTTCGTCTGGAACTCTGCAGGCACGACTGTACGATTCAGCGCACCGTGCCATCGACCACGGTGTCAGGGAACCGACCCAGAGGCAAGTTCCTTTCAGGCACCGCGCTGGCCAGGCGGAGCGTGCTGCAGTGGACAACGCGGCAGCGGCGACAACGTTTTTGTTTTTTGCGAATGAAGGAACACCTCGGGCGCAGAAAACACGACGCCTGTTTTGTCTGTTCCCGTCCGTTCGTCACGCCTGTAGTAGGTTGAATGACATCCCGTAGTAGGGTGCTGTCACCTCCGATGGCATACTGGTGCGGTGTTTGGCATTCGCATCGCTCGGGCGGGTTCTGCAAGTTTTCTTGCCCCTCTGATGTCGTACGTGCTTTGTCAGCATCCGGCATGCCCACCACCCCGACATCGTCTCCCTGCTCCTCACGCGCACCCTTCCACTCTCTGCTCGCTAGGGTCGTGGAAGACACAACGCTGCGCGAAACGGGAGCACTCTTAAGCAGGTTCCCTACCATCTTCGCCAAGGTTACCCGCCGAAAACAAGTGCTGGTGAGCCTTTTGAGTGGACGCCCCAGCTGTCCGCGTTACTCCGTTGCCCGCCATAGATTGGTGGTCGTTCTAGCGATTTCGGGAAGTTTCATGGTTCGCGTTCGCGCATGGACGCGTGTTTGTTTGGCCATCAACTTCTGGGTTGGCCCCGCACGTTCTGGCGCGGGTTCTCCCCTCCCTTCTTTCTTCTCTCTTGCTTTAGCCAATACCATTGCCGTCCAAAGCGTGGAAGAATAGGGGCCACTCTGGTCGGGCAACTCCTTGGCCCTGTTGTCTCTCCTCTCCACTGACCATGCACTGCAAGTCCGTGCACTATTTAGCTGTACATACCAACGTATCAATTGTTTGGCGCTGACTTTGTGGCGGCACACCATCCTGCCTGTGTCACCCCCGACTGCCTGCCGCGGCGCGACGATCAGGCGGATGTCGAGGCCGCCAAGTCGAGGGTGCGCGCGGCCGAGGCGGCGAGGGAGAAGGAGAGAGACAGCTTCGCCGTTGTCGCCGGCAAGGAGCACAGGCGGCGGATGTCGGACGCCCTCGCTACGGCCGTCGCCGTGGCGGACGGGGTCACGGCGGAGGTGGTGGCGGACGCCGAACGGCTTGAGCGAGAGCGGGCGGCGATGCTGGTGCCGCAGGTTTCGGCCCTGGTGGGCGGTCAGGTGAGAGAGATGAGAGGAGCGCGGTAGTGACTTTATTGGGCTGGGGTGCATCCCGTGCGAGCGAGCGTTCTGCGTGCTTCGTTCCGCGGTTTCGAGCAAGCACTGCTGTTTGCGGAACTGTCGGGGGGTGTGTGCCTCCGATTGCACGGGTGTGGACGAGGTCATGCCGTGCGTGCGAGGGAAGGAAGCGGTAGGGTCGCGCAGAAGCCCTTGCTGTTGCTGTGTTGTGTTGTTATCCACAGCAGGAAAGTACAGCATTGCGCTTTTAGTGTTCTTGCACTTTGAAGGAACACAATGAGTCTAGGACGACTTTTTTCGAGGTTGTGGAAAGGACGGACCCACCGTTGTACTAGTTCACCCTTCAGAAGCGCACTTCCTGGTTTACTTCAACCTGACCGTCCCGGCTCTTGAGAATCCCCGTTTTGCTGTTGTAGACTCCAACTTCGGGATTGGGGTGGTCTTCTAGCAGTTTTGGGGTGTTTTTGGTGCCAGGAAAACCCGCTCTTTCATTCCCCTCCAGCCCCTCCCCCCCCTCCCCCACACCAAACCCCGCCTCCTCACACTACAGGCCCCTCGTTGTCGCGCGTGTGGTTTTGCTGCTTTCTGCAGGCGTTCTTTATGCGACGATCGGCAACAGTCCTTGAGAAGCTAGCAGCACAGCTCCCCCACTCCGCCCTGGCTCTCTGTCGGCTCTTGGGGCCTCGCCCCATGGAGAACCCCTTCACCCCTCCGCCCCCACCCAGGAGGAGCAGCATACAGCAGACGTTCTCGACCTCCATTGCCTCTGTCGACGTTTCTGGGCACTCGGCCGGCTCGTCTTCAACGGTTGTCCGGGGGTTCGACGGCGGCGGCAGCCGGGGCGGGGGCTCCAGCTCCTCGACGATGGGCCTTATTTCACCGCACCGGCAGGCCGCGACAACAACCACGCCGGCTCTTTCCCCCCCCGGCCTGCAGTCTCACGGCGCAAAGTTCGAGCCAGTAGGACTTTCGCCCACCGGGTCCTCGGCCTCGTCTCCGCCCCCCCCTCCGGCTGCGGTTGGCACTCCGGACCGTTCTCAATCCTGTTCCCGACCTAACGCTATGGCTCGCGGTGACCCCACGAGTACGAGCAAGAGTGCTGAAGCGATTAACCCCGCAGCTGCTGCTGCTGCCGCCGCTGCGCCGGCCGCCCCCCTGTTGCCGCCACGGCCGGAGACCAGCGGTGGGAGGGCTGGGGGTGACGGGAAAAGATGACGGCGGTGGTGCTGACTGTGAAGGCGTCCTTGGGTGAATCAGTCCCCCGGCTGGGGACAGGGGCAGATAGATGTGTCCGGGCAGTGAAGCGAGGGGGCCCGTCGTTGCTCTTGCACGGCGATGTTTCCGTTTTGTTGCAGCAGGAGTTAAGATATCGTGATGTAGCTATTATATCTATAGTTTGTTATTTTCTAGACTAGCAGCTATGTACCGTGGTTTACTTTGATTCACGTTATTTTTTTGTGTTCATTTTTTTCTGGCAGTCCGTGCGTTGTGCTTGCGCTGGTGCTGTCAGCGCGGTCGCATTCCTCAACTGGCGTTCGTGCGGTGTGGTGTTTCGTTTGACCTCAGAAGCAAGCGACGAATGGCTATTGGGCTCACTTGCCCACCGCGGTTCTCGCTCTCGTCTTTGGCTCACTCGCCTCGAGGGGGGGTGCGGCTGGCTCCAAAGCAGCACCGCGCAATGGGGGCTAGAGTATTCGAACACGCCCACAGTGCCACACAAGCTTAAGAAGTACACGCCGTAGAATGGAGTGGTGGTGGTGGTTTGTGTAAGCTTCGCCTGGCCAAATGTAACGCGCGTGTGATGTGCGGATAGCGCGTCGCGGGAGGATTATTTGTCACCTCGATGTGTTGAAGTTACTCGGCTGCCTCGTCCTGTTGTGGGAGGAGGGGGCTAGCACGAACGAAGACGGTGATTGACATGATCGTGTAGTCCCTCTGTGGCCTCTCCCACGTCAACGTGTGTGGGGACGATGGGGAGGCCGAAGGGAAATGGCGAAGGAAGTGTTGGCACTTGCTTGACCGCGGATCTGCGACAGTTGACACCTTCTTTGTTCCGCCGCCGCGGGGGCGTGCCCTGGGAGGATGCTCTCGAATAACGCACCAGACCGAGCTAGAAATCGCCAAGAGCGGGAGTCTTCAGTCAAACATTTCGTTTCGCGGGCTACAGACATGTGCTGGTGGGATGTTGAGAGATATGTGTGTGCCTCCTCTTGTCTTGGTGCGGTACGTACTGCTCGTCGATCATGCAAGAGGCCACATTTGGGTGCACCGCAGAGAGCAAACAATATTGTCGTTGTTTGCAAAGCTAAAACCATTATACAGCAGCTCCATTTGTACATCCCAAGGTACCAGGTTGGAAGAGGTTGAAGGGCGGAGAGACGACGCCGGCAGCACCACCTGGAGGGTCCTGTTCGTTGGGGTCCCAGGCTGAGATTCGGTTGAACTTTAGCACGTGCTCAGAGTACGTGTACTGAAATCTCGAAAAACAGACCCAAACAGAGCTCGTACTGCCCGTCATCGTACTCGAAGGTGAGTTCATTGTCATAACCCCCGAAAGGCGAACCCAAGGTGCCATGTAACAAGGTGCAGTAGCACAAAACAGCATAGCACACAACACCGGACGCCTGGCGTCGCTCAGACTGAAAGACTCGACGGCTACAAGACAAAGGGAAAATACACAGAAATGGTGAGGGGCGCCGCTCACAGCCAAAAGGAGGCTCCAGTTTACACAGCCTCCAAATGACTAAAAACAAGGTCCTTACACGGCAGACGAAATCGTCGGCACCAAGGCGACACGGTGATCGGTTACGTTCATAAACCGGCAGCTAATTGCTCAACTTTCCTGCAGGCGTAAACAAAAGAACGCCAAACCAAGCAACGCAAGGGATAAGGCTACACAAAGAGCATTCAAGTGAGACAATAAATTGATGGTCCTGACCGATTTCCGCATCGCTCTACCTCTCGGGCCTCAAAGCCACAACGCCCGCAAACCTCTGCACTCGCCTAAAACCAAGGCATGGATGGCAAGTGGGCTCCGTTACCGCAGCCCCCCCATCCCCATGCCACTTGCCCCTGCTCCCAATCCGCCGGGCATCACTACTGTCGCGCCGTTTCCTTGAGTAGCCCCATCGCCCCCCCCGCGCAGCCCAGTTAGCCCCGAACCGTTTGGGGCTGCGTCCATGCCCTGCGGGTGTTGCTGGTCTCCACCGGCTTGGCCTACGCCAGACTTAGCCCCCCCAGAAGCGCCCGCGCCCCCGTGGATTTTTTGCTGCAGCTGCTGCATTTGCCATTGCTGTCGCTGTTGCAGCAGCTGCTGCTGTTGCAGCAGCTGCTGGAGCTTCTGTTGCTGGGCCCACGCCATCGCCTGGGCCTGCGCCTGCTGGGGCTGGTGCTGTTGCTGCTGCGTCCAACCACCGGCACCCTGGGGATGCGACGAAAGCGTACAGTCAGGCAGACGCATGAGGCGACATGTATGTGAGGGTTCTCGGCGCGTGACACGAAAGAGCACATCGATGATTCTGCGGAGCGACGCATTGCACAAACGCGCAATTTTTTGGGACGGCAAAAAGGCAAAAAATTGCTCTCGCGCGACAAAAACAGGTCACATGCAAAGACGCACCGGCATGCCCATCTGCTGGGAGCCCATCGGCGCGAGGCCCCCGACGTTCAGCGTCGACATCATCTGCGACACTTGGTTCAGCTCTGGGGTTTTCATCACCCCTGTCACAGGCGATGAACCAACAGGCCCTGCCATACTGCGGCCCACGGCGCCGCCGCCCGCGGGGCTGTTGAACATGGACAAGATCGATGCCGCCGATGCCTGCGAGAACAAAAATCGAAGAGAGTGTCGACGGCAGGCGAGGTCGGGGGAAGGAGGACATGGATGAAACCAGAAATAACGCAAACATCTAACAGAGGACGACGAGCAAACCATCCGCAGAAGCGGCAGCAGTGGCCAGCAGCCAACACCCAAACCTCTTCGCGAGCGAACGATTTTTGCTGCCATTTACAAAGCGGAGCGAAAACGTACATACCTTCCCAGGGGCACCTGCCGCCGGTTGCTCCTGCTGCCCTTGTCCAGACTGCGCCGCCGGTTGCTGCACTGTGGCCGGCTGCTGCTGCTGCTGGGATCCCACCAACGCCGCTGCCGCCGGCACCGTCGCCCCCGGCGACGAAGAAGGCGCAGACTGAAAATCCGAGAACTCGAACATCTGGTCCATCGGCGGCGGTGGCGGCGCCGACGAAGCCCTCGACGGCGGCGAAGACGCTTTTGGAGGCGCCTGCGGCGGGACCGGCTCGGAGAAGTCGAGGAGATCGACCGCAGGGGCGGGGACAGCGGACGGCGCGGCGGCGGCGGCGGAAGCGGCCTTCACTGCCCCGGTGCCGGCCTTCTGGAGGCGGGGCACGGCCCTGGTGGTTGTAGATGATGTAGCCTTGGAAGCGGCCGGTGACGGCGCCGTGGAGGTCGAGGAAGATGTTCGCCCCGCCCCCCGGCTACTGCTACTGCTGCCGGTCTTTCCCGTGGGGGACTTGGAGGAGGCTGCGCCGCTGTCCATCCTGATTTTATTGGTTTTTTTGTTCGGCAATGCAAGGTGAGGCGCGGTGAGACCAAGGTGTCGGTTGTGCGTCGAGGAGGAGAAGGAGCTCGTGGGTTGCGGGGGCGGGTCGATGCTCGGCGCTCGTTCTGGCGCGCTGTTTCAGGCGGTCAAGACAGCCGGGCCTTGGTGAGGAATCGCATCTGATAACCGTGTTCGTGACAAGCGAGAGGGATGACCGAAAAACCGATCAGCAGCAGGATCTGTTTGCCTTTTCCTTATCCACGACTTCGTCCCTGACTCTCCGTCTTGCTCTCGCACCTCGAAGATCGTGAGCCGGTAGACTCCTCCGGCTTCCGCTGCCTAGCAGGCTGAGGACTCCTCGACACGAAACGCCTGTGCTCGTACTTGTCACGGATCCATTTCTCGCGCTCGCGGACAGTGGCGTGTTCTCGCGGCACGGTGTAGCTAGCGGGCACTTCGGCCTCGAAGTGAGCCTTGGCGCGCTCGTTTCCCATCTCTTCCATGCCCTGGGAAAAAACCACGAAAAATACCGTGGGTAGACGAACACACCCGCGTCAAATATACAGCAATGTTGTAGTTTAGGTACAACATCATCGTGAGAAACGTGCGATTTTTCAAACCGCTTGATGGCAAGCCTTGTACCGGCTCGGTACACGATTCTCTTGAAGTCCTTGCTGACGCAACATGTTCATGAAAAAAAAGGAGCCCGCCGGAAGGGCAGCACTGCTGAAATTACTATTAATACTTGTAAATAGGCTTCAGCGGACGAAAGCCAAGAGAGCAAACGCCGCCCGCTCGTACCTGAACTTGAGCCGGCTTCCAAGTGTCGAGGTTGACGCTCCGAACAAAAGAGATGTGAACCCCCAAGTTGCGATGGATTCCAGAGCAATCCAAGCATATGAACAGCCCGAGATTAACGGAGGCCCAACGGGGCTCTGGTGTCAACCAGCCCGACGTTAGGGAAGAGCAAAAGGCGTTCTCAGGCAATAATTCTCAAAATGATTACATTGATGTAGCATACAATAGCGTGTTCTCAGCGAACGAGTAGCATGTCGACAGCAGTGAGAGGGATGTGTGCCGTAGTCTAGACAATGTCCCGGTTTTTACTTTGGTGTTCTAGCTGATACCCAAGAGCCTCAATTGAACCGTGCACCTCATTGGAGGGATGCGCTTCCAGACCCACACCATTTGCGGCTGAACGCCTGTCAAACTAACCGGACAGCAGCGCAGTGCAGCTGCGGGAGAGAATGAGGGAGACAGAGAGCAACGACCAGGCTTTCAGAGCCGAGGGGGACAATCGTGTACTCCATGCTGTTGCTGGTTCTGTGCCGTACCCATGCCAGACAGACCAGACCGATCACGACGAACTGCTGTTGGTTAGGCCGCACGTGTGTCCTACCTCTCTTGCCGCAGTCGGCGCAGAAGCGGTTCTCTCCAGTCTTCACTAAGGCCTCCAATCGCTTCCTGAGCGCCTGTTCCGTCATGACAGCGATACCTCTCTCGTTCTCCTCTCTGTCTCCGTTGAGACTAGCAACACCTTCAACAAGTAGGCGGAGGAACAGCCAAGGGTGCTTCATGCATTCCGACGATGATGTGGGGCAGGAGCCGAGAAGAAGCCACAGCAGCAGCAATACATAGCAGCAGCGTCGAAATTGTTCAAAAAAAAAGGACAGGAGCGAGCACTTGTAAAGGTCTTGCCTACTTGCACGCTACTGCACCTCCGACTTCGACCGCCTACACTTGGGGAATCGCGCACGCACGCTCGCGCACCTGCTGTTTTGTCACACCCCAGAGCTGTTCGCTAATTCAACACCTCGAGGTGTAGACCACGGGTCATGAACGTTCAGTCGGTGGGGTGGGGATGTGGGGATACGAAGGCGGAGAAAAAGCCAAGGGAAGGTTTCTATGATGCTCAGGCGTTCGGAGAGACACGACCACGAGCGAGAACTAAAAAGAGTCAGAGTGACCACATACTAGGCAGCGAAGTTAAGATCAACCAATACACAGTAGCGCGTTAGAGAAGGAGAGAGAGGGGACGTGTGTGTGAATAGAGCACGGGAGCGGAGGGTCTAAGTCCTGGTCCTCGAGGGTGTCGCTGTGTTGAAGAGAGCGGAGTAGCGGCAATTTTTTTCCCCGTTTCCCCGCCCCCCCCCCCCCCCCGGCTTCGGGCGGACCAAGGCAGATTTTGGTGGGAGACACAGCAGGCGCCGAGTCGCTGCGGCGTGAACAGCAGGGAGGATGGAGGAGGACGATCAGGGCGAGACGTGGGCTTGTGAGGTGCGATGGGATGATGACATCCGGTGGTGTACGTAGTAGGCCCGCGGGATCTCGAATCCTCCTCTCCTCCGTTCTATGTTTGGCTCCCCTCTTCTTCTCAAACCCAGCGCGCTCTACTAGTTTAAACTCGATTGAGGTCGGTCAGCAGTGCGGAGAGTCCACGGCAGAGTGCATGTCGGCGGCGTCTGGATGCGAACCTGCTCAGCGTCTGTGTTGCAATTGTCGCTCACCCGCTTCCCTTCGCCAGCTTTGGTGTGACTGCCTCCTCCGGCGACGCTTGTCGCTGTTCGGTCTCTTTCTTTCCCTCGTTGTGACTAATGCCTCGCGCTTATTTCAACTGCAAATCCAAGATGACACTACTTCACACCTCTCTGTCTATCACCTAATGTTTCTCCTTGCTACCTCGATGTGACGCGGCATGTATGGTGGGTCTTTTTGATCACGCACCCTCTCGAAACTGTGTGGCTCTTTCTCTCTCGCTCTCAGGCGTGCACATTTCATAACAGGGTGGGCGCCTCATGTTGCGAGATGTGCGGGACGCCAAACCCGAGCATGGCGGCCGGTGGCGCTGGGTCTACGGCAGACGGGGCTGACGACGGCAGCTCGTCAGCGGCGTACTGGTCATGCCAGGTACCAGTATTTGATACTTCCTAAAAGGTTTTTGGTCGGTGTATGATATCACGCGTGACGTTGTACGAGAAGCAGGCAGGAGCAGCAGCAGCCGCAGCAGCAGCTGGAGGGCAAGCTTGCGCCATCGAAATGTGTGCCGGACTGAAAAAGGTTGGCCGAAATACCGAGACACGACGGCAATCGGCCTCCTCTGACGCTATCAAAGAGGTGTCCCGTTGGTTGGTTGATACCTGGTGATCTTCCTTGTGTTTTGCTCTACTGGCAAGACTTGCACCTTCGGTGAGGGTTGGGACACACCTTGTAGAGTCGGACCCGTGTGTTTTACGGGCGGTAGAACGCCAGCCTTATCATTTGGGTGTACGTGTACACGTACAACGTACTTCTACTTCCATCACAACGTACCGAGGTACTGCTGTACAACGTTTTCAGATTAGTTTCGCGAACATAGGGGGAAATGCGTGCGGAAGGAATCCCGGTGGGGTTCGTGTCGTTCGCCACAAAAATATATAACTGTTGGAGTGAATTTTGGCATTCTTTTCGCCGCCCCTGCATTTGGGGAATATCATGTGTCGGTGCAGGACAATATGGCATTACCAATGAAGTGTGCAGGTCTACTAATATACTGCTGTAAGTGTGTGGGTATTTGTTTTGCCGATCGACGGATCCCTCGATAAATGGTCGGACGGATATTTCTAACATTGTCAAATTGTCAGTTTCCTAAAAAATGATATCGACGGTGCCTTGAACCATTAGATGTTCCGCGTGCTTGCGCAGGAGTGGGAACAAAACGGATTAATTGCTACTCTAAAATCTTCAGACTGTTTTCTTAGAGATGGATTCGTAGGGTCTACTAGGAAAAGATTTAAAGCAAGAACTAGTGCCCAATATTCTGTTCCGATTGCCGGCGTCAGGTAAACCACTGCTGTGTGTTGTGATCGCTGTCCCATTGTTGACAAGCACAAAAATACGTGTGACCTCCCCCGCTCACGCCCGCACCGCCTTTGCCATGTGTATCCCAATACGTAACAACCCAAACTTCAGGCGTGCACCATGCAGAACCCTTCGGTGACGTTCACGTGCCACGTTTGCGGCACGGTGGACGAGGGGCAGCGGGCCAAGGCCAAGGAGGCCGGGGATGGGACCGCGGAAGACGGCGTGACCCCGGCGCTGCTGTCGAGGCTTTCGAGAGACGGCCACTTTTCCCTCCAAAACTACCTGGTGATCCATCTTTTTTTTTTTTCCACAGACATGAATCAGGATAGTAAGCAGTCCCATGTATGCGTTTGGTGTTTGTTGCTACGCGGGTGTCTGGAGAACGGAAGAAGCGGTGGGTGTATGCTGTAGGGCACGCCCACCCCGTTCGCGGTTCCCGCCGAAGATATCAATGAATAAACACGCGAAACATTTGTCTAATTAGGTACTCTAACTCTACCTTTTCTTTTTTTAGCACGCCTGAAACCTAACGTTCCCTCCCGCTCCCGTTCCCATCGTGGATTTTTCCCGCCCCCCCCCCCAATGGGCGTTGTCGATACGACACCGCGCGTCTTCTTCTATAGACCAAACTCTGCCATACCCTAGCGCTGGCGGCAGCCGAGGCGGAAACCGGGTTATCCCGCCCGAACATCGACCGAGCTTTCATCCCGGTGCTTCTGGAGCTCATGTCAGACCCCAGCAGCCGGCGGGGGCCGGACGTGCCGCTGCAGGCGTGCCGCGCGCTCAACTACTTCCTGCAGGTGCAGCAGGGTGTGAAGACCAGGGATAGGGCTGCTTGTCGTATGGTTGTGCTGTTGTATGCCGGCTCCTATGCTGTGCATCTGGCTTATGAACCACTACCTACGCATGCGTGGCTTGCAACCGGCAACACAGCAGTACGATAGTAGTTCTCGGGTTTTGCTGCCTTCGGCTCTCCCAAGTTCCACACTGTCGCAAAAGGGGGTTTACTCCAAGCGGAGCAGTACCGAGACGTGTTGCTGGCTGCAGAGGTGATGCCTGGCCGACCTCTCCTGGTATGCCTCTCCGGGTATGCTTAATGTGTTCTGCTGCTGCGCGAGAATCCCTTTCATTCCACCGGTGATTCGCTCAGGTCGCCGTGTCGTTTTTTTTTTGGTGCCCGCTGCGTGCGCTCCGTACTGTGTCGCTCTTCGCGCAGATCGGGGCCGCCAGCGATGTCGGCGTACAGCGAGGAATGCGGACGTACGCGCTGTGCATCACCTGCTCGGCTACCGCTGGCACCGCGGAGTACCAGGTACGACGTGTCGCGTCTCTTCAGACATTGTGTTTGATACAGGGAAATCGACTAATACCGTCTCGGGAAGAGGGCGATGTACTTCTGTCCCATCTTTTTGTAGACTTAGACTGCTGCTGCTGCTGCTGCTGCTGCTTTGTTTTCTCGTGCAAGCATGCTTGGCGTGTTTCAGGAACGAGAAAAAAAAAACTCTAACCGCCCTCCTGTCTGTTCTCTTGTTGTCAATTGCGTGATTTTTGGTGTGGAAATTTGTTGCTCCTTTCCGGCGGGGGGTCTCAGGAGCTTGGTCAGGAGGCGGTGTCGGGAGTGGACCTGCTCTGCCGCACCTCGGCGGAGTTTCTGAGGGAGCTGGCCGAGACGGACATTGGCGGCGGTGGCGGAAGAGTACTGGCGTCGTTCGTACGAGGCGTCTACCGTTCGTCGGGAGGGAGGTGGGTTCAGCGGTGGCGGGGAGAGGGTTGTCCCGTCTCTCGGTTAGGAATTACGCATGTAGCGGTTTTTGTCGCAAGCGTGTGGCGTGTCCTTGGCTAAGAAATGTTTCAGGGTGGCCTCTTCTTATCTCGTTACGCCAGGTATTGCAGACCCAACAGCTCCCACGCAGCCACCACACGCGCATCCCCCAAGTGTCAGCGGTATCAACCTCGAGTGCTGCGTTCCATGGCCCCCTCTTACCGCTTCTTCCCTGCCCCGCGTGACGATCAAATCTCCTATGCATAGTCGTCGGGGTAGCATCTCTGCGTCTCCGCTCGGACACTCGCCGGGGGGAAGCGGGGCGGGGCTCGCGGCGGAGGACCGTCGCAACAACCGCGCCGGCGGCGCCGGCGCCGGCGCCGAGGAGGCGGTCGCCAAAGCTCTGTCGCTGCTCCCGCTCATCCTTGAGCTTCACCCGAGGCCTGCCGGGGCGCCACCGCCGACCAAGCAGGGAAGCAGCGGCGGCGGCGGCGGCAACGACGAAACCGCCGCCGCCTCTGTCGTCTCGGCCCTTCAGGGCAAGGAAACGGCGACCACTGGTGTCATTGGTGACGACGAGCACGCTGACGCGGACGCGGGCGACGGCGACGACGAGCTGCAGGCGATGCTCGATGCGCTGCTGGCGGTGCTAAGGGGGGCGTCGGCGTCCAACCGCGAGGTCGCACTCGCGACCTTGGGGTCCAAAGTGCTCCCGAGGCTCGGGGGCGCGGCCGCTGGGGGCAGGGAGTGGCTCGGGGAGCTCATCACAGACAAGGACCTGCTGGTCGCGGCGATCGAGGACCGCTCTCTGCGCGGCGCCGCGTGCCACCAGCGCGCCCTCGGGCTGACGTACCAGCTTCTGGCGTCCTCGCCGGAGCTGATGTCCCTGGTGCTCGAGCCCGGGTGTCCCCTCTTCCCCGCCGTGCTCGACGCGCTGGGCGACAGCGGAGGGGGAGGGCTTGGTGGAGATGCCTCGGGTTCTCGGCCCGGCATGGACGGTTCGGGCAGCAGCCACAACCATCACAACCACCTTCGAATCACGTCCGGTGGCGGTGGCGATGGCGGCGGCGGCGGCGGCGGCGGCGGCGCACCAGGGACGCCGAGGTCCGCGCCGCGGACGCCGCGGCTCGCGGGTATGTCTGGGGACGGGAGGCGGATGAGTCGGACCGGCGGGGCCGCCGACAGCGAAGCTGCCGGGCGGAGCGGGCTGGCTGTGTTGCGCATCGTGGGGCTGGTGCGTGCGCGGGTTTT